GGCAGTGCCCCAGAGGGGTGTGAGGGGTGTGGCAGTGCCCCAGAGGGGTGTGAGGGGTGTGAGGGGTGGGGCAGTGCCCCAGAGGGGTGTGTCAGTGTGGCAGTGCCCCAGAGGGGTGTGAGGGGTGGCAGTGTGGCAATGCCCCAGAGGGATAGCACTGGTCTAAGCGCAGACCTGGGACCTGCCCGTACAGAAGACAATATCATAGGACTGAACTGACGTCTGAGGTTTCAGACCTCGTTAACATTCCAAGTTGTCTCTGCTTGTCTGGGCTGTAATGGGTGTTTATGTTTCCTCTGCTCTGATCTCTTTGCATCATGAAGAAAGTATTGCTGTGTCACACATAAAAAAGTAGACACTGCATGAAATTCTGGAAAGCTAAACAAAAAAACATCTTGTTTAATTTAGTTTTCATTTGCAAACAGTTGCATGTTGATCCAGTTTAATTGACATATAGATGCTGTGTTATTAAAAGAAAAGCCAGTTTGCTGAACAGAGTTTTCTGAACATTTAGGACTGTAATATGGCCAGCGGTGGGTGTAGAAGCTTTGTGATGTTGTATAAATTATTAGCAGATGTACATTCATTTGGAAAACTGAGAAGCAGTGTGTATAGAATCACTAAAAACATATTTTCATAGTTTGAATATTCTATCTATTCTATTTGGAAAATGTATTTTGTATTAAAGATACAATACCTTGTTTAATAAAACATGTAGAAATTTCATCACTGTGATCTACTTTCAGTACTGTATTGAATTTTTAAAACATCTGTTTTTGTTAGCTAAAGCTGCACAGCTCTCGTGTCTGAAATGTACAGTATATGCTATTCAAGGTCTTTTTGTTTTGGGAAATGTTTTGACTGAGAGGTTCCTGGTGCTTTCATGTGCTGTCATTCCTGCAGCACAGAGGAGCAAAGATCATTGTGAGGCTGCCGGAGAGCCGATTTATGTTTCATAACAATCAGTCAGCTTTTTGTACAAACCTTTCTCTAGTGGTTATGAAATATTAGCAGATTTCTAAACATACTCTTTACATTTCAGAATGAGAAACATGATAACAATTGTGAGACTATAATTTAAAGACTCATCCACACAGCTTATAACATATATTTACATATATTTTATTATTTAATTCTACAATTAATTTTATCATATATGAACTTTTTCAGGAAATGCTATGTAATTAAAATTTAATTTGGGTTACTTGAACTGGTTTCACTGAGAGTAGGAAACCTATTTTCACATTAACAAGATATATTATAATAAAGTAAAAAAAAAATACTGAATTATTTCTGATTTTGCTCTAAGTGATTATGAAGAGGCAGGCCTGACCCTTGATGCTTTGACTGCATTTCATTTTTAGGTTATTAACAGTCTGATTAGTTTTACAGAAGCATATATAGGACAGCTTTCTGTTTTGTGTTTTGGTAATGGGTTAATAAAACAAAGTGTATTCCCTACGCAACTGGGGACATTGATGGAAGCTGAGTTGTAGACACTATATTGATATCAGAACACAAAGTTAGTGAAACAAAAAGTGAGGTTAATGTTGAGATACAAAGTCATGTTAAAGTCAATCTTAACTCCTGGGTTCTTCACAAATCGACAGGCTGCTGTGTTAAAAGCTGGATTTCTGAAATTCATTATATTTCCCTGGGTGTTGTCGTAGTGCTTTAAGGAATGTACCTGTAACATTTATTTTCTTAATTCATTGTGTCCTTCAAGGGGACACCTCTCTTCAGTGGGGACCTTGGGGCTAATGTCACTCCCCACAGAAGAAAGAGCCATTGGAGTTTATGATTGCCCATGCTGTGAGTGTCATACTGTGGATGAACTGCATTGTCTTTAGCTGTAGTGTGAATATAGTAGAGGTGTACCTGTGAGGCTTAACAAGAAATGTTGAAATATGATGCCAGAGATTCCATGAGACAGACATGAGAGCTCGGTGCTAGGGGTATTCCACGGACCAGTACAAATCAGTCTAAATGTCAATAGATAGGGTGCTGGCTCAAAGAGCATTTTGGAAGTTCTGAAAGAGGATCTGCTGTGCACTTAAACCTTTTTGGGATGTAATGGTTATGACTTGCGCAGGTTTGTCATCCTGCTGCACCAAGGTGGCACCATTAGAAATTCAGTTTCTCCAAGCAGTGGAAACCCACCTGGCGTGCCCAGTCTGGACCGGGCCTGAACTCACTGTGACACGACTGGCCGAGCAGCAAGCCTGGCGGACCTGGGCCTCTCAATGTCTGCTAAGACCGTCTGTGCACCTCCAGGATTGCAGTGACATAAGAGAGGCTTGCCATCCCTCTGACTGCTTCTCTTGATTCGCCAAGGCGCTGTGGAGGGCGCACCTCGTCAGACGGGCGTGTCGTAACAGCATGCATGCAGCACAGGGCTTGTAGCTGGAAAGGCAAGTTGAAAGCTTGTCTGAGTGTAAAAAGGGGTTAGAACAAAGTTTAATTACCAGGTGCTTCATCAGTGCTTGAATTGAAAAGCCTTAAAGACCTTTTGGTGAGGTCACCTAGTATGACGTCATTTACTCTGTCTGTGATATCCAGGCCTCTTCTGAAATATATAGGGAGATAGCCTTAGGGTTTGGACTGTTGGATCCAATGAGACTTTATTAGTATGTTTTTTTTTTTAATGCAAACTGCTATAGATTTTCAACTTGTTGTTATTCATTTGGCTGAGAAGATTAAGTTCATAAATGTCACCGAAACACTCATTTTGTGACTGTTGTTCACCCTGTACATTCGGTCAATTGCCATTAATAACTTCCTACATGTAAGTTTATTTTGCAAAAGGCATGATTTGTTGATTAAGCTAATTGACCATGGTGTTGAATGACAGTGCAAAACAACTGCACTACAATATTGTCATCAGACTGGTCCCAATACATAAATTGCAGCTGTGAAAAACGCATATCCTAAACTCTTCAAAATTCTCTTTCATCTGCGGATGATGCATATGGGACCAAGTTTGAACTTCTGTCCCAAAACAGAAACTTTAAAAGATTGGCACCAGCTGATCCAATTTTCGTGCCCTCTCTAACCAGTGAAGGTTTCCTAACAAAAATGATTATATTAATTGAATAAATGTGTCTTATTGTCTTACTTCTCGATGCAATTATGATCTTCATTCTCTCCACTGTGATATGCAATGGTTTTAAACAGATTCTGTGGAGCGCCTGATGTACGGAGTGCTGAACACAACTGAATGAACCCACTGAGCTACATGCCTGCTCGCAGACTGCTGTGTCAGTGCTCTTCCTGTGGGGCCGGGTTACGCCCACACCATATGTAACACTGTGACTTCGCGGAGGCGAACTGGGGAATTTCCTTCCTCCTACTCTCTCCAGCGCTGCCCGTCTCCCTCCAACTCTTAATTCCCCTCCCCCTCTCACGTTTGCTGTTTTCAAATACCAGGAAGAATTTTGAAGGAATCTCTACAGTCTGGCTGTTTGAATTCTGTGATATCTTCACAGCTTTATCATTATTTATTAATGACTTGTATGCACTGTGGTA